TATGACTGCTCAGTCGATCAGATTCTGTACCCAATTCTAGCATTTCAGACAAATTTGTTAAGTAGTAGTTTTAACAAAAGAATTTACATGACATAATGCTGTGGTATGAGGGTTTCCTTTAATCTCCAAGCAGATCTTTTGATGGGGGTAAGACAGTATCAAATTGGCCAGTCTTTATCCATTTCCCCACTTAGATTAGGTTTCCTTGGTATCATACATTAAATTGCTTCTTACATGTATCATGAACAGATATCAACCACTTGAGAAATGAATCAGATTTCTGGTAGGAATTCCTGCATCCCACCGTCACTAGTAACATGGAAGTCTGTACATTTTGGGCTGACAGGACAGTCCCAGCCATTTCGGTTACCATGGCAAGGTTATTTGATACCCTCATCCCTGGGGTGCTGAGGTGGGCAGCTGTCCGGTCAGTAGAACTGGGGTGCCCTGGCCAGAAGGTCATTAACCTAGATAAAAGACATCAACTGCGCTTTTTACACTAAAGTGCCCGAAACTGCCCATTGCACTTTCCCACAAGCCACTAGGGAGTCCAAACTTACACCACTTCATCTATACCTCAAAACTATATACCACACAAAAATCCAGACAATTGCTCTTCCAGAACTCAAACTGCTAACACACAAACCAACAAACACAAAGGGTCCACTGCAGTGACATAGCGACCCCCCCCCCCACAAGGCCCATTGTCAAACTTGACCTTGGTCTCTACAACAGTAACTTGCCTACCAAAATCATGAATATCTTTTTACATATACCCAAGTTATCCTGCTAACAAATGACAAACACAAAAGTTCCACTGCACTGTATGTATTTCCCAACAACATGTGTACATTTATACCAGAAATGCTCTTTTTGTTGTCTATTTAAATTCTTAATTGCAAATGACAGTTAAACTTAAAGATTATATTAGTAAATGTGTATTTTAGTTAGAGACACAGGTTACTTGTCAATTTTTGTAATTTTCCGGGGGGTACGTTTATTCCGGGGGGTATGTTTATTAGATTTTGAAGATTTGTCAGGGGGGTACATTTATTGGGGGGGGGGTATGTTTATTCGGCAGATGAGAGTAAATGTTACATATTGTAGGTCCTGTGGTAGGGAGTTCTAGAGCTTTACAGTGGCCGGGAGGAAGGTTCTTCTGTAGGACAGAGGTAGGTCAGTGAAAATGACTAATTCAACTACTGTACATCAAGTAAGAATGACCCGCCCTCCTCCCTCTGGCCCATTCTCTGACAGAACAATGGATGTCCTTGGCTTACAAGTCAATAGAACATCTGAAAATAGGCCCGCAAAAATCAATCCTGCAAGGCGATGGATGGCAGGGTTTCTTCTTGTCATAAATCTATCATCCTTAGGCTAGGCCTAACCAGCTGGTTGGGGCGTAATGGTGCTGATAAAGGTACAGCTAGTTGGGTGTGTGTACTGTCTGCAGCTAGATCTAATACAAAAGGCTGTAAATGTTGAAGGAGATTAGAAATTGGATTCATGCTGTACATCATGGTACAATCATGTACTTGTGAGATGAGGCTGAGACACTCTAGGATAAACCAACATGTTCATATTGACTATATGTTATATCTATTTGCTCTCTGCATTTTGTCGCAATCATCATTGTGACGTTACATTTTAGCCATTGGAGGCTGTGATAATGATATTATATTTTGAAATCCAATGCTTTTTCTTATGAACTTGAAAAGGTTTTCAGTCAGAAAAGTCATCAGATATAATGGTACATACACTAGGGCTGCGTACCGGGGCCAGGTGGACCGGTACGGATCGGAAAAATAGTATCGGTCTGGTCCGAAAAACTGAAACGTTGGTGGACCGGTTTTTTAGACCGGAACAAAAATTCATACTTGATCACTACACACAAAGAGGCCTGCCAGGAAAATGAACATCCAGCGTTAAAATAAGAGAGATTTACCTTAGTTTCCGTCTCTGAGAACTAGTGAGAACTAGTGAGAAGTGAGGTAGGAAACCTAGTTATATCATCCATGGTTATATTTGATGTTCTGTGAAAGATACAGGACAAATTGTCAACACTTTATTCATGTTTCTGTCATTATTGAAGAATTTCAGTAGAACATGTGACGCGCGTGAATTTTCAAGTATAGGTACAGGTCCGGACCTGGACCTAAACCTCTGTACCTGTATCTGTACCTGATGTTACGAAAAGGTACACAGCCCTAGTCCTGGGGCATGCTTACATCTATACTCTCTTTCAAAAATGTTGAGATCTTAACCCTTTGAAAGGCTATTTCCTTTACTTTATTATTTGAGGGGCAAATTTTGCTGGTGGACTAATCTTAGTTTAACGACATATCTTAACGTGCCAATTTTTGCCAAAAGATAACAGATGGGGCAAAAATTTTGTCTGTCATGAGCAACAAAAGTCAGTCAAGTGATGGAAGGACAGAAACTGGCTAGACAACTGCATGACGGGAAAAGAAGTGACCCATATTCCTCTTGACATCTGCTTGGAGAGGCAGCCTTCCTCCCTTCCCTTCTCTTTTGCACACACACACAGTGATGACTGGTCCTAACGTGTACTTGTCAGTTCTGGGCTGGGAGTATTAGCTGTGCCATGTTTGGCTGTACTGTGTTTGTTCTGAACACAGAGAGTCACACAGCAGTGACCGGCTTGTGACACTGTCTCACAACCATCCCCTCATCACAGTACTCAAACCTTCCAGTTTCCTGTATCATAGTGTATGTGCTGTTCCATGACTGGAGGTATACGATTGGTGCTTTTTCACGGTACGTACAGAGGCTTTACTGTAATCCTGCCTCCAAGTGCTTTGGTGATGAGTTGGTGAAAGGTCTCACTGTCTCGCTGATAGTCCCAGGCAGATTTTAGGAACTGAGTAAAGCATACATGTAACGTTAGATCTAAATATAGTATCTGTAATGACTTCGAGCTGCTTGGTCATAATGATACTGTATACTGCTTTAAAAAGTAACAGCACCTTAGCTTAATGACGTAAGCTGAAAAGATTATGTTGGTATTTCAAAGAAATCCATTATTTTCTACACTGACAATCCAGAATTATCAGTCGAATCAAGGAGGTTAACCTCCATGGTCGAATGCTGCATAATCAGTGAATTATGTAACATTGTTTCACCAACGCACGAAGGCATGTGTATTATATTAGTCATCTTAGAATAGACGGGGGAAATCAATTTGCATCGAATACTGGAATGAGAACATTGTTGGTCATTTAGATATATCTCTTTTTTGAGGTTGTATCTAGCTATGATTCTGTTCTATTACATATATATTAGGATTCTATGGCATTGGCAGATTGAGTCTTGTCTCAGGGTTGTGGTTTAAATCAGTGGTTTGGATACCTCCTGTAGATGTCTACTCCAGGATCTAGAAAATTGTATCATTTCTGGGAAGTGTAATCCCAGTGGGAAAGGTGGTACAAGATGACGGTAGAGGTTATATACTGTAAATCACCATTTTTTCATGGTACTTTTATATTATTAGCGGTTTTCGCTGTCACTTCTATACGGTGAAGCTATCATTACCACGACCAAAAAACTCCCCGACTTTCTTTTTTCTGTGCCTGCTGCCACCCCTGAACATGTCCATTTTTCTCAGACCGCAAACTTTTTCTACCGTGATCATGAACATAATAGTGATTTACAGTATACTAATTGTGAATATGCCTGAAGTCTGCAGATATGTATCTTGCATTTTTCCCCCGTTCTTGTAGCTGCAAGTCCAGGGTGTTGTCCCATAGAGATCATGGACACGTGTAGTAATGCCCTGTTTTAATTGATTGATTTGGTATTGATTTTTGTGCAAAAGTACAAAAGGCCATTGTGGAGAATGTCATGAATCCATGGAAGGGCAAGCAGGTAGTGAACAACAGGAAAAATTAGTTTGGAGCTTGCCAGAGTTCATACGAGGAGCTCACACTGGACCGACAATCAGTACAAAAAAATCGGAAGAAACTTAGTAAATGTTGTTCAGAATAGATACAAACAGATGAACGTGGCATGGGTTCAGGATCGTGCAGGAATGAAGAAATTTGCACATGAACCCTGACCTACTGTGACTCGGAAATGAGCTGCACGTGACGCAGGTCTGTTTACACAATGTTTTTCCTCGCCGCAGACTCCCCACTGTGTATCACGATTAGGGCTGCGTACCTTTTCGTAACATCAGGTACAGGTACAGAGGTTTAGGTCCAGGTCCGGACCTGTACCTGTACCTGAAAATTCATGCGCGTCACATCTGAAATTCTTCAATAATGACAGAAACATGAATGACAATTTGTCCTGTATCTTTCAAAGAACATCAAATATAACCATGGATGATATAACTAGTTTTCCTATCTCACTTCTCACTGAGTTCTCAGAGATGGAAACTAAGGTAAATCTCTTTATTTTAACGCTGGATGTTCATTTTCCTAGCAGGCCTCCTTGTGTGTAGTGATCAAGTATGAATTTTTGTTCCGGTCCAAAAAACCGGTCCACCGACGTTTCGTTTTTTTTGGACCGGACCGATACTATTTTTCCGGTCCGTACAACCTGGACCGGTACGCAGCCCTAATCACAATGCACTTGTGGCACCTCCTGAAGGTGCCACGGGAAAAAAACGTAGCGCGGCGGTGGCAGACCTGTTTACACGCTGCGACGCGCGGGTGCATGCGTCAAAAGACGCCTGACACATTTATTTTGCCCAGTGTGTAAACTGGGCCTTTGTCTGGTGCAGGTACTTTTCAACGTTACCTGCACCAGTACTAGTGCAGGTTAGTAGAAAAAAGTATTTCAAGCCCTAGCTTGGTAAAAAAAAAACTAGTGACTGTTACGTACTATTCTAAAATAGTGCCGATATATTTCTGTTCCCGCAAGGGGGCTATGTACGTATAACAGAGACCATGACTGTTTCTAAGATTCTTCCTGTATGTACATGTAGTGTACCAGTGATGTCTGTTTAACACTGTCTGTTTTACACCTGTTTTCTACAGATCTGCCACAAGTTTGATGGGTATGAAGTGCAGTACTTCCTTCAGAGAACCAACGATAAGATAGACTGTAACGATGCTTCGTTGAAGACGTGAGGAGGGCTGTACGAGGACCGCCATGGACGCTGCGCTGTCGGAGTTTGTACAGTACACCGGGGCAGACCCTGGGCTGGCCAGGGACTTACTGGAAGGTAGGTCATCACAGTGACTTATTATCTTCGCCAAGAAGGTTATGTTTTCAGAGGCATTCGTGTGTGTGTGTGTGTGTGTGGAAATATGATAACTTTTAATTGACTTGATATTTGGTAGGTGGGTAGGTCTTGGTGAGACCTGAAAATGATTAGATTTTGGACCACCTAGTGGCTTCTTATGGTACTGCAGTGGAACTTCCGGTTTTGATATCTCATGACCTAGACATGCTAGGGTCACAGAATTTAGATGGTAGGTAGCTCTTGTGCTGCAGAAGAAGTGACGTAAGTTTGGGCCCCCTACCGACTTGCTGTGGAACTGCAGGGGCATTTGTTTAGATAATATTCAAACAAGGATAACTCAAGAACAGGTTGATAGATTCGAATGAAAGCTCATCTGTGTTGGTAGAATACATAGTTAAAGAGTTTGACTTGTTCCAACACAATAAGGAGAACTCACCATAAATTTTCGGCTGATCCCGTCAACCTTCGTCAGATTTGTGATGCAATCGCTGACTTCCGGAAAGTCAGCGATTGCATCACAAATCTGACGAAGGTTGACGGGATCAGCCGAAAATTTATGGTGAGTTCTCCTTATTGTGTTGGAACAAGTCAAACTCTTTAACTAGGTTGATAGATTGTCATGATTTTTTGTGTGTACTTAGCTTATTAAGTGATAATTAACATAATTATGTGGCAATTATGCAAATATGGATGCGATTTGCATAATTTATGAGGATATTCTATAAATCAATTGCATTACATGATCAAGCTTGTGGTATATGTGACTGACAATGAGAACAACACAGGCAGATATTGATTATGTAAATTAATACTTAATTTGCATAATTAATGAGAAAATGAGCTTTTAGCTTCATCTTATTGGAGCAAGGGACCCTACGTACAGACATTTAAAACATGGGCAATTTTCTTATACCAGGTAAAGTTTACTACTCACATATTGACAGTCAACTGTTACGGAGGTTACAGTCATTACTTACTGGCACTTTACACGACTTTCCCCACTAAACTCAAGTGAAAATGAGTATTGTCTGTCCAGTATACCTTTCTATGTGCGGGACACAACACCAGCAACAGCTGCCTCTGTTCCGTTGCAACAGTGTGTATTGCACTGTTGCAATTTCAATGAATCAAATCAATCAAATCAAATCAAATAGTGGTGACAGCATTTTGCATTTGAATGAGAGCGAGCCAGGTGCTTTTTCCAGAATTTGTCAAATTTGTGCTGAATATTTTTTGAAACAGTGCAGTTCTGTGTCCTTACATGCACTGCTACATGCACCGCAGGCCTTTTATTTGATGTGTTTATCATCATCAGCATATTATTTATAGTCCTCCATTGATATGTGTCCTCAGAGAAAGTCAAACACATGTTGCGCCTCATGGCCATCATTCTAAAACTAGAGAGTTGAGTCAGGTGATTCTTTGCATCCAGATCAAGTCTTAGTTTTAAAATCCAAAAGCTTGGTATTTGGATGGAGATTTGTATATTTTATAATTACTGCCATTCAAAAAAATTCTATCCCAAACATCTAATGCTGCAATGAGCTGATTAGCATTAAAGCTGCATTATGTAACATTAGGACAATACAAAAAGCAGATTTTCTGGTCATTTCTTCAAAAAGTCAGTTGAATCAACACTACACCATTGCAAATAAGACTTAGAGCCATTCAGAAAGTGTACAGGTGTCAAAACGTGATGTCCTACAAGTGTGATTAAGCTTTCAGCCATGTTTGTTTACATTCTGATAGTTTGTGGTGGCACCAAAAACTGAGTGTGCCTTTGTGTGGTTTGTTTTAGCACCAAGTGTCTGAAATGCGAGATAATTGTGCATTCAAGTATGTTGAAAAGTGGAAGCAAATTATTAATGACAGGAATATGTTTTTTAATTGAAATATTTCAATTTTTAGTGCAAAAATGTTACATAATGCCCCTTTAAATACTCCAGTAGGAAATCTACTTTCTGTTTGTTTCCCCATAGAGTTAACCTCAAAGGCGACTTAAAAGTAGTCTGTTCCAAATAATGTGAAGATACAGCCCAGGATAGAAAGGTACAGATGCCTAATGTTGGTATTAAACCCAATTTAAAGTGGATACATGTAAGGAGACTGATTAGATTATAGTTTGACACATCTCTCCATCTTCACGTTCCTCTAAAGATTGGATAATCTGTCAGAACACTTCAGAGGGCTCCAAATAGATTTGGGAAATAAGGGCACTGGTGTACACACTCTAATAAAACAATTGGGTGCCCAAGAATTTTTTGGGTGCATCTCAACAATAAAAGTTTTACTGTATTATTTTCCTGATAGTTAGATGTCAAGAATATGCTGTTTACTACTTTTATGTTTACTGAAGAAAAACATTGTTTTTGCTCAGTTTCCTCTTCTTATCCGAAGAATGACCTCTGACCTGGTCAGTGATCCGAACCAAACCGTCGCTCACCATGGTAACTGGTATTGGGTTACATAATGTTGCAATTTTATAGTAGGAGGGATTTAGACTCCTGTCACCATACATGTATGTGTGAATGTGTTTGAGTAAGAATTAACAGAGCAGACCATATGCGAAGGTAAACATTATGAATTTGCTTTGGAAATTCTAGTTTTTAGTAAAGTAGTACTAGTATACATTTATTATATACAAATGTAATAAAATATCTTAAGTTTACATATGTGAACGTACAAAACTATTTTGGTGCATTTTAGATCCCTGCTTCAGAGACATGTAAATTGTACATAAGCAGGACTGCCAGCTGATTTGTGGTCGTCCTCTGTCTGTTTCAGTCATGTAGGATGGAGGGCACTTAGTCCACTTACCACCTTTGTTAGTATGGATTACGATTTAGATTGCTGATTGTTTGGGTTGCTTCTTGTCCCTTTGTCTGGATTGTTCCTTACCCTGTGGATGACATGGCTCAAAATGCTGGGTGCATGTGCACCTTAGTGCACCCAGATTTGGAGCAGTGCACCCATTTTTTTCACCCAAATATTTTCGTAGGTTTAACATAGGTAATGTATGTAAAGATGTTGAATGTATAGTTGTTACAGCATATTCTTAACAGCCAAGTGTAAAAAAAATAAGACAATCATTGTTATAGTACTTAATAAGTACTATAATAACAATGATTGTCTTATTTCAAAATACAGTAGAAGCCGCTTATTTGAAAAGCCAATTTGTCAGCACATTTTTTTCAAATACCCGGCCTTTCCGATTAAAAGACTCTGAGGCTCAAACTCTCGGCCTTCATTGAAACTATGGGGGTGGGGGGTGGACAGGGCATCGAACACAAATAACGACACAAAGAATACAAACACGAGTCACATTTACGCATTAAAAACAGTGAACTTTATTGAGATCGGTAAATTTGCTTTTAATTTTTTTCGTTGACGTACACATGTATTTTTTTCGTTTTTTTCCAAGACTGGAAGAACGCCGCGATACGTTAGACATCATGTGCTATCGGCAGGCTCTACTCGAACGAATAAACAATGCTACGTTTGCTACGTACAAAACAAGCAACGAATACATGCACAATCATCAGCCTGTACGTACTTTTACATCACGAAAATAGCAAAAAATAAAGTCTGATTAACGGAAAACTTCAATCAAGTAGCGTACAGACAAAAATGCAGACGATCGTCATGAAAGCAGTCGATAGCACAAAGGATCGCTTCGATCGCTTAATTTTCAGAAACTCCGGCTAGCACACGAAAATTATCGTAACTAATGCAACAATAAACTGTTCATTTCAACGTTAATGACTTTTTAGCTCACGATGTCCGTAGGTTACATGGAAATTTGCGATAGTTGACAGGGATCTCTCGCATTAGCGTTCAGGGAAGTAAACAAAGATGGCGGACGCGGCGTGGGTAGCAGTATCCCATCATTCCATGCGGTGTTTTTTCGCGGCACATTTGGCGTGTTGAAGCGGCGATAGCGCCGTGTCGCAGTCGAAATAAACTCAAAATAATGGCGCAGTACACAAGTAGAGACATGGTTTTGATGATTAAAAAATGAGTTGTATGAGAAATTAAACGTTCTTGGAATAAACAGGCTAAAAGAACACAAAAGCATGCCGCATTTGGCGGCTATGAACCGGCTCGCGCTTCTCACTACGTAGTGCCGATGTGCGCCCGACCGCTCGATCAACGTAAATTTCGGCCTCCTTTGTGGTTCAAAACAGACAACTTCGTCCCTTTTGGCGGCTTGATGTCTTGATATAAGAAATTTTCCGCCGATTTTGGTGATTTGTTTGGCATGTTTTTGGTTGAAAATGTGTTGCAACTTGACAATTTTTTTTTCAATTAGCTGGCATTGGCTTTTCAAATAAGGGGCGTGATAAACAATGGTGTCAATGGGAAACGGTTTGGGTTTTCACAATTCTTTTCAATTAGCAGACTTTTTCTTATAAGCGTTTTGCAATTAACTGGCTGCCACTGTAATATTTTGAAATGAAACATAATTATAGTTTTTGCTGATTTTTTTATCTTATATGGTGCACCTAAAATATTTTTTGTGCACCCAATATTTTTAGGTTGGGTGCACCAGTGCACCTATTCCCAAAAAGAATTTCGAGCCCTGGGATGAACATGTTCAGAATTGAAGTCTGGCAGACAAAAAAACCATGATACAGACTACTAGTATATGATGGATGAACATGATGAACTATGCTGAAGGTAGAAGTAGGAGAACACTGCTAGCATTAGTACAATGCCATGACTAATGGGACTTCACATTACCTGGGTGATGCCGGTGCATTTGTTGTGGAGAGAAGCCGGCTAGTCAGGATGATAACGTGTGCTTTTATCCGGGAACTCAGACGGAGGCAGTGGTGGAGATGAGGAGATAATATAGGTGAGGTGAGGTGAATTGTAATAATGCGGTGGTGACCTCGCCAGCTATCCCATTTCTGTGTCAGGAGGTCAGGGGTTTTGGTCCCGGCCCATCCCTCAGTGTTTTGAAGTCAGGCACCCTTCTGAGCATGCCCCAGTGTGAGATAAGGCTACTGGAATTCACTTAATCTTCACGGAAGCAAAAGTTCACGGTCTGAAAAAAACTGAACTGTCCACGGAAAGCCCACAATGGCGGCAGCTGCAGAAAAAAAAGAAAGACAGCAAATTATTAACGGTCATGATAAGTTTGCAGTATATTCTAGAATACACTAAGGCAACACCAATTCAATTTCTTGGTTAACGGATTTGCCCGCTTCATTTTTTCTCAAATGAAAATAAAAATTCAGAATCAACTGCAAAATGCTCATATTTTGCCCTGAACAGTTGAAAACAGTCCTTTTCATCCTAGTTGTTACAGTTATTCCATCTTTCAATGCAATGGTATCATTAAAAGTTCAAAATTCATTGTTTAAATTTTGAACCATCCTGATGTGTTGACTTCGTGGCTCCTATCGTACCATTTTGGGCCATAAATACAATAATTAATAGGATGCCTAGGCCTGTTTTTATTTTTATTTTTTTTCGCCTGCCCGCTCCATTTTTTTTCCAGAAAAATCCGTTAACCAAGAAATTAAATTGGTGTGGCATAATCTTGTGAATGCAAATTACAGGTCAGTGATGTACCTGGGATCATTGGATATTGGTGAATTATTTCTTAATGGTAATGATAAGGTGGCACTATACACAAAATGACCAAGCAAACCGCAAACATAAAAGTGCCTTAAAAAAATCAGGAATTACAGTACATGCACCTCAGGCAGACTGGTGATTATGATCACCTGAGGCACCAAATGACAGTGATTGGCTTTCTGAAGAATTACAGCTATTCTCTGCCCTTGATGTTTGAACAGTAGATATATATCGAGTTATGCAGCATATAATGTCATATATGTAAAACTTGTTCAATAGTCGTTCCCATACATTGTACCATGGGCAATTGTCGTGCAATAAAGCTCTTGTTTAAACCCCTTGTCTGGAAAAAGCATGTTGTTAAAACATTCTCTCTATCTGGGGGTTTCCCATGTTGGAAGATGAAGATAATTATTAGGACAAATTATCTGTATCTGTATCGGTATAGCCGGTATAACCGCCCTTCTGCGTAACACACCAGCTTCGCAGGCCTGCGGCGCGGCGGCAGCTGGCTATATCACACCGAACGACTTGTTACACTTAATCTTTGCACATTTGATTGCAGGAGTTTTTTAATTTAAAAACTTAGCTTTCTAGTGATGATGCCCCAACTGTGCTTGGTGGCAACGAGTTCCAGTCTACGATAGTTCTGGGGAAATACGAGTTTTTGAATACCTCAATTCTTGGTTGATAACTCTGATATTTGAAGGCATGACTGTTTCTTGTTCTTTTCTGGGCTGGTATCAGATACTTAGAGGTTGGTACATCCACCAGTTTATTAGTCATTTTGTACATCATGCACAGTCTGGACATTCTACGTCTGTCTTCCAGCGACCCCCACTGTAGGTTCTTTTCATTTCCGAATATCTGAATATGAAGTATTCATTCTATAATCAACTTGACGTGTACATCTTGTTCCTCAATGGAACTGCTAATCCTGCCGAGGCCTTGATCATGAATGTACTTATATTTCTGATGTAGACACAGACAGGTTTCAGGCAGGGTAATGGGTTTCTGACAAGAGCTGATGCCAGACCAGGCATGGTTCTAAACTTTCTGCATAATTTATAGGGGCCAGGCTTTGAAGTTGTGACCAATTTTCCAACAGGAAACATGCTCAGGATTTCTGGGAAATTCAAGGCGACCAGGTTTTAGCAGTAATATTGGCTGTGGGGGCAATTTTCAAATGTGATGTTGACATCATTCTTACCAGGAACATTACAAAGTAGACAATCATGATGGCTGACTGATGGGGTATGAATTGCCTGAAGCAGTGTGATAGATGTATTTCTCCTTTAGTCGCTCAGGATCTGATCTGAGTTGATTTAGAACTGACAGAGGCATTAGGTATCCAATTTACAGAAAATCCCCTCACTTATCAGTCCGTGGGGAACCTATGGGTACTGTCTAATGTTTGACCTGGTGAGGCAAGGGGTCCACCTTTTACCGGAATACACTGGAATGTACCGGAATACATGAAGTGTATCAGAATACACCCTGCCATGATTAGTAAATATCCCAGGTTGCTGCATTTTAGTAGATAAGGCCCCACCAATTTGATTTCTTCGTTAACGGATTTTTCTAGAAAAATAATGGAGCGGGCAGGCAGAAAAAAAATAAAAATAAAAACCAGCCTATATATAGGCATCCTATTATGGCCCAAAATGGTACGATAGGAGCCATGAAGTCAACACACCAGGCTTGTTCAAAATTTAAATAATGAATTTTGAACTTTTAATGATACCACTGCATTGAAAGATGGAATAAATGTAACAATTATAATGAAAAGGACTGTTCAGGGCAAAATATGAGCAATTTGCAGTTGATTCTGAATTTCATTTTTATTTGCAAATCAGAAAAAAATGAAGCGGGCAAATCCGTTAACCAAGAACTTAAATTGGTGTGGCCTAAGAATCATTATGATAATGTTTCCATGGCCCTGTGTATCAGAAACTGTAATTAAATAATCCACAAACTTGGTGACTGGCCAGGTCATGATCACCACTGCCAAATACCACTCGGAAATTTCTATACCATACTGTAAATTGTACAAAACAGTTGCAAGATGAGCAAATATATACCTTAAGTTAAAAGAAAACAACAACATTCGGAAAATGATACCAATGTCGTAGAATGCCAAAATCATTTGAAGACCAGATTATTTGCCAAACCATACTCTGTGGGTGTCGTTTGTTCAACCTTCAAAACTATGTAGATTTCATAATGAAAGCAACTTTTTTTTTTTGGCCAAACTTTTTTTTTTCACACGCTAGCATCAGTTCTGGGGTTCCCAGAGGATGTCATCCATATAATCAAATCAACATGGCCTTATGCCAAAATACAGCAATCTGGGATGTTAACTCAAACCAGAGTCTCCTTTTATGTATATTCCGTATGTGTTTTTTGGTGTATTCTAGTGTATTCCTGTTAAAAGTAGACCCCATGCAGGAAGCAGTGTTTATAACTGAAGAAAGCATTAGCTTGTTGGTCTGTTCTGATGTGCTTTTGTTTTCATTGTGAAATTTAATGTAGGAAACAGTTCTTTTAACATTTTATCATATAGTAGGCATGTTTTTGAATTTACCGGTAAACAATGATTTTTGTAGTACATGAGTAGTTGGAGAAAAGCCGGCCAGAAAAGGGAAAATTTTAGTTACATACATGTATAAGTTGTTTGGAGTTCTGTATTCTTTAATATGTTTTATGATACTATAGCCAGCAATGGCAAAAGGAAAGCGGAATAAAAACCAAACATGCTTTTTTCAGGTAAGAACTGGGACCTGAACGCTGCCCTGAATGACTTCAACGTTCTGTATCGTGAAGCGGACAGTAGCCGCCCGCCGCCTGTCCCTAGGACCAGTAACGGGACGACCATAGACAGCACGATGGCAGCAGAAGTGCGAGCTGTCCAGAGGAGACCAGAGAGACCGCCATTGGTCAGACAGGAGGATCTGAAAGGTAATGTCAGCAAGCTTCTGGAGTCAAAAATCCAGAATCTGGACTAATCTAGAGCAGGAAAAACAGCTGCAGTATTAAGACTGATTTTTAAGTGGCTGAAGCAGGGTTCTAGCCAGCCTGAAGTGTTTTTCCGTCATCTCAATTTTGTGAAATGTAACATCATGTTGAGAGCTAAAGGTGCTAGAGGAAAATGTTGAAGTCTTAACCCTCTGAAATACTATTTCCTGCATATTGAGGGGGATTTTTGTCATTAGTCTAAGCTTAGCTAATCTCATATATTTGTCTGTCAAAGATGATAGAGTGGACAAAATTTTTGACCATCAAGGTTGACAAAATTCCGTCAAAACGGAAAAAATGCTGACTAGAACACTGGCCTAAAAAGATTTGTCAATGATTCAGTCATACTCGATAATAAATAGATTTCTTTGCGTTCATCTCCTAAACTTAATGCACACAGTTTTCATAGATGGTGAATTTGAAGATGATTTGATTTGATTGCTTTAATTTATTGAAATTGCAAACAAATACAATACTCGTGGGCCACAGGCAGTGGGGGCTGGTGTTGTGGCCCACACACAAAACAATCATAAGCTCACAAACAAGACACACATTTAAACCTAAACAATATAAGTACATAGAAATAAGTATAAGAGTACTAGAATCAGCATAGATTAGAATATATAAGACTTAGTCTACTTGATACAGTTCATGTGGTTTCTAGCCGCCAGAATGTTCTCGTATCTGGGGCCACGTCTCTGGGTCAACTGGTGCTTCTGCTGTGTGAGCAGGTGGGCCTGACACATGTTCTTAAATATACTAATGCTACGGGCCTCTTTAATTTTATAACCCCTCTTCTCCCATCGCTAGATAAGAGGTTATCCCGCGGTATCTCCCATGCCAGCGCGTCTCTCGTCTCCATGGTGCGGACGGCGGTGGAGAAGGACGAGTCGGCGACCACTGAGGACAAGATGCACTACTTCATTGAGACGCCCGTCTACACGTTTGTGCTTCCAGACCTGACCGTTTACTCTGACGACTTCCGAGAATTCCTGGAACGAGACTTGATTGAGACTTCCACACTGGTGGCCTTGGAACAAGCAGGTTTGTGACATAGCATGAAAGTTTGTGACATGTTTAAAGTTAAAACTTTTGGTCCAACACAAAAATTCTCTCACCTAGAGCTTTCGCCCAGTCACTCTGGTCTTCCTCAGTAGACTGACCCAGTGAGGCTTGTCACGTGGCTTCTTTGAAGTGTGACATCAACACTGGGTCAAAGGTATTTGGTAGAGGATGTCGGCCCCTGTTGCGGTTAAGCTTTGTGACTTGTTCAAAAAAGGTAAAACTTTTGTTCACAAGACAAAAAGGTAAATGTTCTCACCTAGAGCAAGTAGTTCTTGTTTCACTGTTTAGAAATACAGAAATAGTTTCATACTGTATGAATATTTAAAGACCAAGGATACATGTATACCTACATTGTAGTTCATTAAAGTCATAGATACTACATGTAGTTAACCTTCTCCTTGTAGCCTGCACCGAAAACTAAAATAAAGTTGTTACAAGAAAGAGTGCATCAGCAGGGCTATGATAAAACAGTTGCATTCAATGTAAAAATAATGCAATGATCAATATAAAATGATCAATAACAAGCTTACTCTATAGTACATTGCTAAACTGTATTCCAACACAAATGTACATATGTACATAGACAGAGATCATATTTTCAACAATCACTGTCATCTTCATCAGGATAAGTAATGACCAATTCCAAGCATTAACAGTGCACACCCCAGTTATTCCGCGACCGGGGTCCATGGTAAAAAAGTGATGAAAGGGTTTTGAGGGTCCAAGTTTGAGGTGACATTTCTCATAAACTGCCACGAAATATCATTAAACATTAACATGGCTGAAGAGGGTAAGAAATGGTGATTTTGGGGTGAAAATTTCTTTTGGCTCCAAACCTTACTTCCGGGTAATGCGCGCCAAGTGCAATCCGGCCGTTTGACCTAGATTTCGCTCTGCGCCTTCCTAGGAGTGGATTTGCAACCCCTCGCGCCGTGGATGGTTTAAAAAATTTCAGTACTATAATTTTCTTTATAATTTACTCGGGTATAGTCAAGGCTTGGGTCTTTCTGCCAGCATCAGTCATTTCTGCCGGAAAATTTTTTTCTATGGGATTATCCTACACGAAAATTCACAATTTTGTGCATTAATTTTGGAGAGAAAATAATGTTTTTTCTGTTGATTTTACCAAACTTAAAAAGGTTGAAGAAACCAAACTTAGCTGGTCTTGTAGCTGAATAGATATCCTTTCGTCCCATAAACAGTTATTCTTCTTCTGAATTATTCCGCGCCAGAGACGGTCGCTAGATTTGAGGGTGTGCAGCTTTGAATAGAGACGCCAAATAAACTGGGGTGTGCACCCTTAATCCACGAGACACGTGACCTTATTCATACAATACTTCACGGATAGGCGATGTCAGTAATTGGTCAAGTGTGCCAGGCAATTTATATCATCCACCGTCTCTGTGTAGTGATGGCTGGAGTGCCCTGATATATATTATATTATATATGGCCTTCTTTATTCCTCGGTGTCCAGTATTCTGACTTTGTCCAGTGAAAAGGTGTGGGCCGATGTTTCAATGTGGATGTGTTGAGAGACTTTGTACTATGATTACTACCAACACAGATGAACTTCAGTGATAACAATCTTTAACTGTTTGTCTTGTGTTTGTGAACAGGACAGTTGAACTGGTGGGCAGAAGTGTGTGCCTGTCAGAGACTCTTACCACTACAAACATCAGGGGATGGGAACTGTCTGCTGCACGCTGCCTCCCTGGGTAAGACAGCAACGTGTGTTTACAGGGCTGGAAATACTGGGTGAATGTGCACCTTAGTGCACCCAGAATTGGAGCTTTGCACCCAATTTCTTTCTTTTTGTAGGAATTTTTAACATTTGAATGTATAATAGTATACAAGATATTCTTAGTCTCTAAGTATCACAAAAATAATAAAATCTTTGTTGTAGTACTTAGCAAGTTAGAAGTTAGCTCCCATTTTAGATTCAAGCTTAGAAGAGGAGCAGTAAGATCAGTAATTAGGTTTTGTTTTATATGGTGCACCCAAAAAAAATTTTGTGCACCTAATTTTTTTAGGTTCGGTGCACCAGTGCACCTATTCCCAAAAATGAATTTCGAGCCTGGTTTGTATCCAGCGATTGAAATACTTTTTTTCATCATACCTGCATTGGTGCTGGGAACATTGAGAAGTATGGATCATACTAGTGCTAAAAACTGTTGAGAAACCATTGCCATTTATTTCTTACTTAATAGTCAATGCAGCAAATAAGTAGTTGTAATTCACTTTATGTTCGTGCTAGCAAAAGTTTGCGGTTTGAGATAAATTGACATGTTTGCGGAACTATATGTTTATGGTGAATAAATAGAAAAAAAAGTCAGTGAATAAATAATACTTCTTATTATGGTAATGATAAATTTGTTGAACAGAAGTGACTGCGAAACCTTGAACATAAAAGTACTAGGAAAAATGTCAGTGCTGCAGTGCAATGTGAACCAGTCAGAATTGACCTGAGGAAGTGGACAGACGGTTACCAAAACATTGGCTGAATACAAAGACTTTGTTGTGTAAAAAGAGTCTCTTCCGTAAATTTTGAATTAAGAATTCAGTAAAAATCCACAATAAAACTATATTTGTACATAAACCGAGTACATGGACCAGAGAACAGGTACATGTAGACATCAGAAATACCTGCACAGGCCCAATTTTGCATGTACCTACACTAAGGTGCATAATTTATGCACCCCATATTTCAACCCCTCTAATTCTAAGTTCATCCCTGTCCACATTATCTTTCCAGGTTTTTTCCCTCAGTATTCAAGTCAAGTATAGTCTTTGAAATTATGGAAGAAGAATTGTGGTCCTTCCAATAGATCATTACTGGCAACATGTATAATTGAGAGAACTAATTCTAGAAGCTGCACTGCAGGCTAGATATGGACAAGGCAATTACGATAGAGATAAACTTGAAGCTTCCCAGTGTATTTTTAAGACTCGTTTGTTTGGACTTACTGCTACAGACCTGTACAAGTGAGTCAAGTCCTACTGGAGAAACAAAAAAAAAAAAAAGAGAAAAATCAAGGAGAGGCAGTTGAGTTGTCTATAACAGATGTAAACCAAAACTCTAAAAAATACAGTGTAATTGGTGAAATTTGGTTTAAAAGCAAGTAGGTTTAAAAGAGAAGGCCTAATTCCCTCTTTTAAACCTCCTTCGAAGTTGATTTAATAGGGAAAGTTGAATCAACCCTATCCTATAGCATACTGATACTGATGGTGTAAAAATGTGATGTCACTGATGGAAAACCGTTGCTTGTTTTGTATCGTAGGCTTGTTTTGAAGCTATTCAAAATGCTTCAAGTATGAAATGATGATGAAAATGTGCAAAGAAATGGGACTTAATGTTAATATCAGACGTTTTGCCACCATGAAATTGTATTGGATGCCTTCAACCTCTCAGTATATCCACAAGAAGATTGCAAGGAAAAGTTACCAAATGAAGTGTTTTTTAATAGATTTTCAAAGAAAAGGATGCGAACAATCCAACAAAATAATGATAAAGCTTACAATAATTGTTAGTGACTGAAATTTAAAACATGATAATAGTGATAATAATATGCCAAAAAGCAGTTACTCAAGCAACTGGATATGATTTTGAAAACGTCAGACGTTTCAGCTAGCATCCACTAGCTTTCGTCAGTGACTGAGAGACCAGAGGCGGAATACAGGTTTATAAGCACAAACTATTGATTGATATGCAAATAAAGTGAAGACAGATTTTTTTGGAAGTCGAAAATGGAACAAAAGTCAGACAAGTCAAGACAAGAAAATGCAAATTAGTCAGAAAGCTCCTGTTATACAGAACAGGAGCTTAAATGTTGTCTGTCCTCGGGGCTGGGAGTGCCAAATCCCAAGTGCTGGAGAGATCCACCCATAGCCCCCCTTCCCTGTTGAGGGTGGGGTTTTTACATTCCTTGTTTGTGCTTATAAACCTGTATTCCCCCTCTGGTCTCTCAGTCACTGACGAAAGCTAGTGGATATACTAGCTGAAACGTCTGACGTTTTCAAAATCATATCCAGTTGCTTGAGTAACTGCTTTTTGGCGTATCGTATTAACTGGATGTCTAACCTTCATCGACGTGATAATAATAGATAGATAATTATATGTTCAGAAATCTATAGAATTGTACTTATGTATAAACTATTAATTTTGATTTAACAATCACAAAATATTTGTTAAACTTTTCTAATGAAATGTAATAATTCTTTGACCGAGATTTCGCTCTGCGCCTTCCTCGGAGTTTAAAAAAACTTCAGTACTAGAATTTTTAAAATAATTTAGTGTAGTCAAGGTTTGGGTCTTTCTGCCAGCATCAGTCATTTCTGCCGGAAAACTTTTTTCTATGGGATTATCCTACGCGAAAATTCGCAATTTTGTGCATTAATTTTGGAGAGAAAATAATGTTTTTTTCCGCTGATTTTACCAAACTTAAAAAGGTTGAACTTGAAGAAACCAAAAAATTCTTGTTGTTCCTCAGGAATGTGGGGTTTCCATGACAGACTGCTGACCCTGCGGAAGGCTCTCTACAACACCCTGTCCTCCAGCGGAGCCAGAGGGGCTCTCAAGAGACGCTGGAGATTCCACCAAACAGAGGAGAACAAGGAGGTCAGGCACTCATCTTCAAAGTTCATCTGTGTTTAAACTGCAATGTCCAACACAACAAATTGGACTCACCCAAATTTTTGACTGTACAACTCCAGCCTTTGTCAAGGAATGAGCAATCCACCGCTTCCGTGACGTCACGCAGATAACATTGCACGAGGGATTAAAGAGGCCTTCTACATCAGGGCATTACAACCATCCCTCCAGAGACGGGGGGCGCCACAGACTTTCTGCAACCTATGATCCACTGCTCATGGAGTACTAGTCACGTGTGTTATCTGCGTGACGTCACAGAAGCGGTGGATTGCTCATTCCTTGACATAAAAGACTGGAGTTGTACAGTCAAAAAATTTGTCCAATTTGTTGTGTTGGACATTGCAGTTTAAACTTGCTTCATACTCAGGTCAGGTACTAGTTTTAGTCCTCTCTAGGGCAGACAGTACTATTATGCTTGACCATAGAAACGTATAGTTATTATAAGTAAATATACTGAATTATACTGAAACAAGTCTGCATGAAAGCACTCTCCCTCGTTTCAAACATCCCATATCAAACATTCTTCTGCACCAGAGAGCCACAAGTGTCTGCCTCCCAGCTCAAACTATGACAACAGTAAACAGACCCTACTTTGGACCTAATTTCCTCATCACTCGGGTCTCTCATTATGCCCATTGAACTTACTAATGAAATAAACAAAATTTGACCAAAGTCAGAAAGTTTAGACCCTACCTGTTCCTTCTTGCCCAAAAGTCTCCAAACTGGACCAAGAGAATAAAACCTTCAATGTAACTCCTAAATGGCCTGAGGGGAATGTTGGTGGATTCGAACCAAGGATTCGAACCTATGTACATTGAATACGGTGGAAGACAAAACGCATTTTATCTCAAATTGTACCCTCTATAGCAATGAACGAAATGAACTCTTTGACGTAGCCCCCAAATTCTACCCAAACTTTCACACATATACAAATGAAAACTACTCTCCTCTTATACATGTAACATCCCAAAACCCACAAATTACAGGAAAAGTGGGATCCTTTGTCTTCCTCTGTCTTCAAAAAACAAGTCAAGCCCAGAAGTTTTTACTAGTTGTTTCATATTATAGTAGTTAGTACATGTAGTTCTATGTGTACTAATTATCTGTTTTTATACCAAATGTTTCTTCTGTTCATGCAATAAGCCCTCGGGCATGAATTTGCAATAAAACTTGTTATTGGGTTAGTGTTATTTTGTCGCCCAGCTTCTCTGTCCTTGCAGCCTAGGGCTGAATTGCATGTGAGGAGCTTAAAATTATTGGCAGGGGCTTAATCGCAAAGGTCTAGGCAAATGGCTGCCATTTGGCGCTCAGGTGACCTCAATTTGACCATGATTGCAGGCATTCATAGACTGTAAGGTTAGATCCACCCAAACTCTTTTTGAGTGTGGTGGGTTCTTTAATGTGCGTGGTGTGTAGCTTTCTCCAAACATGGGAGCTCCATTTAATGTCGTCTCTGAGGGATGTGACTACTAACTCATTTTCTCCTGAGTGAAGTGAGGAAAGTCGTGTAAAGTGCCTTTCCGAAGGGCACAAGCTTAAGGTCAGTGACATTGGGCAGGATTCGAACCCAGGACCACTTGGTCCGGAGTTGAACACTCTGACATAAACCGTTGTGTGTGTTGTAGGCTGGTCTGGTGTACTCTGAGGAGGAGTGGGAGAGGGAGTGGCAGGACCTGCTGAAGCTGGCCTCGGCAGAACCACGCCATCGCCCAGGCTCCATGGGAGGGGGCGGGGGAGGGTCTTCCACTAACTCGTAAGAACTCACATCTACTCTATATCTCTTTATTTGTGGTTGCATTATTTGTGTACTAGGCCACACCAATTTAATTTGTTGGTTCTCTGATTTTTCAAGAAAGAATATGACACGACAGTGCCAAAAAAAGTAAAAATAAAAACAGGGTTAGGCATCCTATTATAGCCCAAAATGCAATGATAGGAGCCATGAAGTCAACACAAATGGCTGGGTAAATATTTATTCAATGCATATATGAATTTTGAACTTTTAATCACACCACTGCATTGATAGATGGAGAAACTGTAACAACTACATGTAGGAAGAAAATGACTTTCCTCAACTGTTGGGGGCAAAATATGAGCATTTTTCAGTTGATTCAGAAATTTTTTTTTTTCAAATCAGAAAGAAAGAAGAGCTGAATCCAAGAACCAACAAATTAAATTGGTGTGGCCACTTTTTAAACGTCTGCTATTTGTTATGTCTTAAACTTTAACAGCATCCTCAGACCTACAGAATGATGTATTTATTGTCATTGTATATTTTTTTATGGGTATTTAATGTTTTTAACATTGCAGCATCAGATTTTATTAACAATTTGTATGTGACATTTTTTGCACAATTCAGCCTATGTGCAACATTACTATATCCTATTTACTGTTTTTCTTAGTCTTACATGTACTTATGAAATAAACCATTAATATTGGTAGGAAGGATACAAAAGGGATGTATTCTGACACCCTCCCTCCTTTTCTCACCTTCTATAGACACTTAGAAACAGTATCTGAAGATGACACAGGGCTGTGTTACGAGAGTCTGGAGAGTTTCCACGTGTTCGTCCTGGCCCTGGTGCTGAGGCGACCCGTCATCATCGTGGCGGACACCGTTCTACGGGACGCTAACGGAGAAGCGCTGGCGCCCATCCCCTTCGGCGGCATCTACCTGCCGCTGGAGTGTAAACCGGACGAGTGCCACCGGTCACCGCTGGTCCTGACCTACGACCAGGCCCACTTTTCCGCTCTTGTTGCAATGGAACAAAGTGAGGTGGATGAACAACACAGACTCATCAGTAAGACATAGTTTCTACCTAAGGCCATAGCAAGTAAATTTTGTGGATGACATCCTCCGCAGACTCTAAATCTAATGCGAGCGGGTGGAAAAAAAACAAGGCGGGCCGAAAAAAACAAAAATTTTGACTCAATCATTGTACAAATGGTTTTGATTCAGTGGGAACATCACATATACACAGCCAGCATCACATATCACTGCATCAAAGTAAGAAACAAAACATTAAATCAGAGCCTTGTCTTGTCTCCTCTCTTCATAATTATCTGGCATACACCTTCCGGCATGGCTACAGACATTTTTGCTCCTTTTCGGCATGTTGACCACTGTCAGAAGGCAACAAAATTTCTTGTTTTTTTTTCTAAAATCAGGCGAAAATTAATGCGCGCGCTGATGTCATCCATAAAAATTACTTGCTGTGGCCTAATATTCAATCTTCAATTCATCAGTGAAGGTCAGTAATTCAGGTAATACGACATGCCAAAAAACAGTTACTTAAGCAACTTGATATGGTTTTGGAAACATTCAGATATTTCAGGTAGCATCGACTACCTTTCGTCAGTGATACTGGTGATTTCTCAGAAAAGCAGGTTTATAAGCACAAACTATTGATTGGCACGCAAGTAAGTGAAGACAAATTTTTTGATAGTCTTTAATTGTTAAATATAGTACAATGGATTCATTCCTCAAGCTAACCAACATTTAGTACACTAGTAGTCATTCCTCATGACATCTTGGACTGCATAGTTCCCGTTTAGAACCGTTTATTCAGCCTGTCATGCTTGCTTACTGAGGGACAACTGTGGTGTGCTAGATGTCGGTTACCTTGAGGAATAAATTCATTCTACTATAAAACTTCAATTAAGTGTGATTTTATGCTGTGATTTTATAATGCAAATCAAGATTTACAATATGCCATCTAACTCACAGGGTTCTTTTTCTGTCAGAAGTTTTTAAAACTGGAACAGAAGTAAGTCTTATAGTAACTGTTGCAAATAGCTGATATTGTACAGAACAGTAATGTTGACGTTTTGTGTTGCAGCTGTGGTTCCCATCACTGATCACAACCACAAGCTACTCCCTGTTCACTTTGTCTCCGACCCCGGGCTATCCTGGATATGGGAGAAGGACCCACAAGGACCTGAAAAAGTTGCAAAGTTGAAGTTGAACGAGGACCAGAAATTAAAACTCCTTGAACAGTATCTAAATGTTGTTAAGGTGCCCTTGAAAGGAAAGACAATTCCCGCGGACGTGTTGAACTCTGTAGAAAGTTCTTCCCAAACGTCGGAAGACGCACGCTCCAGCAGTGGTTCCTTTGACTCTGGGTCAGAACCGGACTCAACCAACTCAAACCACAGCGGAAAGGGAGGCAAGACAAAGGCTGCAAAACAGCTGAGCTCCGTAGCAACAAGGATAGGTAGTTTTGGGAAAACAATGGGCAACAAACTCAAGAAGAACCTGGGCATGTACAATGCCAAACACAATGGAAAGGGTGGGGAAAAGCACGGGGGGAAACTGGAGAGAAAGGAGTCAAAAAATGGAAAGGGGGACCTAAAGACTGAAAAATCCCACGTGGTGCAGAATGGACCGGTGGACGAGAGGGATGGAAGCGTTAGCGTGAATGGCACTCCGACGCACGCGGCTGCCAAGGAACATCAACCCTTGGTGCGGGGGAAGGACTACATCCTGGCTGCCAAGATGAGCATAGAGAAGCGACACAAGTACCAGCAGGAAATGATCGACAATTACCTCTCGCTAGCACAGGAACGGTTCGCCGACCACTGCGAGAAGAAGCGTCGGGAGGAGGAGGGAGAAGAAGAAACTGGCAG